TCCCTGCATTATATAATCATAACTTCATCAATATTAGTTGTAGAATAAAAGTTTAACCACTGCATTTTATGGAATTCTTAGCTCCATAAATATGCATTCTCAACTAAAATCGTAACGGATCCTCATACAAAACCTTGAAATATTACGCAGTTAAATAATGTCGTTATAATTTATTTTATTTGTTTTTTCGCTTAAACTTATTTTTTAATCGTTTATAAAATATCTTGCAGACTTCTATCATGCAACGCGATTAAGTTACCAGCTGGCGTATTTTATATTGTTCTGTCCCTCGTATGAAAGCTGTTGTGTGTGAAAATATAAATTGTGAGGGTGACAATAACTTAACGTGACTTAGCTCTAAGCGGTTTATCCTATAAAAGGATTTAACAGGTTGCATATTTCCCTCAAATTTCAAATCGCTTTATACGATTATCGTGTATTTAATTTTAAGAGGAAGATGACTAGAAGCTATTTAATTTGAAGAAGTCTTTATACTCAACAACTGCATTAAATATTAGTGTAACGAAACGCATACATTAGAGGAAAGAAATAAAAAATAAAAAATGAATGCCCAAGACGTATAAAAGAGTAACAAGACAGAAAAAAAAATAACGAATGTATTAGGTGCCTTACCTTATACTCTCGGACGAATGTCCCTCGGTTCCAAAACACACTAGGAAACACGGATCAAAGTATTTTTGTCTGGTATTTCACAGGAGCTCGCACACGTAAAAAATTACAAAATTATTCTGACGATGCAGACCTGAAAAGGCTGCGAAACGTCAATAAATAAATAAAGTTCGTGCATTAACCCGTTAAAACTAGTTTTATTTAATGAGTGATGTGCGTGAAAACCTAAGAAACAAATATACAAAATTATAGTTTTTCTAATCTATATATATAAAACTCAAAGGTGACTGACTGGCATAATGATCTATCAACGCACAGCCCAAACCACTGGATGGATCGGGCTGAAATTTGGCATGCAGGTAGATGTTATGGCGTAGGCATCCGCTAAGAAAGGATTTTGATTAATTCTACCCCCAAAGGGATAAAATAGAGATTGAAAGTTTGTATGAAACTTTGTCAATTTTAAACCGATCGGGCTGAGACTTTGCATGCAGGTATTTGGAAGAATCATAGATGAATGTCATTGTGTATAATACAAGCCTGAGAACAAAAACTGTAGTCTACACTTCAGCTCTACACCGAAGCGAAGCGAGGGCGGGCCGCTAGTTACATATAAAATATACGAAAGTACGTAATACAACAACCACCGCAATCAACAACTGCAGTGAAGATAAGAACGCATCGCTAGTGCGGTGCGCACACGCAGATCACATACGTTGGGCGATATCGATTTTATTCAAATGATTCCCTAATATACCCACCCCAGGTTGACGGCTTGTATGTTTTGTGTATATCTTAACCATTGTTTTCTTCCATGAATAGTTAATTGCCAAATTAAACGTCTTGGGAATGATAATGTCGAGATGCTCGATGCAAAGTAAATAGGGACACAATCACGATACAATTAAGTTGAGGAAAAAGTTTCTACGCATTTCTTATTATAATTCAAAACATTTTTGAAGTTATACTTCTTTAGGCGCGTTATGAAAAAATGATGAGAGTGAAATTTTTAGATGCGCGCGCATCACTGTAACCCAAAAGTAACAGCATGAAGTTGGCCGCGGGCGCGTTATGAAAAAATCATGCGAGTGAAATTTCGAGATGCGCGCGCATCACTGTAACACAATAGTAACACCATGAAGTTGGCCGCGGGCGCGTTATGAATGTTAGTGACATCTGTTCGAAAGGTACTTTGAACGATCCACGGAGCTCCATAAGATGATCGCATTGTCAAAAACAATGTTGGCACGCTCGTCGCCTCTGATCACTGTTTTCATATTAATAATATTTATCCACATGTTTCTAGTTTCTATATAGACACAACGTGTTTTAGTTACTTACAAGTGCTAATTACATATGGACTAATAACTTAAATTCAGTAGTGATTTTAATTGAATATTTTGAATATTTATTTAATTTTTCAAATTAAAACTGAACTTAATTGACTGTGTTAACTATCCTTTTCCAGTCCTTTTATTATTTTATTGTAATTATTAATTATTTGCATGCTATTAAAAAATATTTTTAATGATGCTAAAGAAGTATAACTTCTCACGCGCGTACATAAGTTACACGCATCCATTTTTAATATAGTTTATTTACATTTTATTAAAGTATGTAGGTGCCATTTTGTTCGATAACTTTTTGCCATCTTGTAGGTAGGGACATGATTCCATTGCTATAGATATAATATTTTGGGGCTTCTGATCAAAAACCACGGCAAGTGGTTTTGACAGTCCTCTCGTAATGTTAACCTGACATTGCCTAAATTAATTCTGAAGTGATCGAATTAGGTGGAAATCTGAAGGTGCAAGGTCAGGACTATACGGCGGATGCATTAACACTTCCCAGTCAAACTATTTTAATTATTGCTGAGTGACTAAAGATGTGTAAGGTCTAACGTTATCATGATGAAAACCCACACCCCTTCTGTTGATTAATTCCGGCCGCTTTCTGTCAACTTCTTGCTTTAATCTCATCAGTTGTTTGCAGTAGACTTCATATTCGATAGTCCTGCCTGGCGATAACAGCTCATAATGAATAATGACCTTCCAATCCCACCATGCACACAGCATCACCTTATTGCGAGTTAACCCGGGTTTCGCCAGTCTGTGAAGCCTGACCGGCCATTGACCACGACGATGAAAAGTGGTTCACGTACGACAAGAACGTGCGAAAAAGCACGTACGCACGCACTATTAAACCAAATTTGTGCTATTCTTACAGACACTACAATAGATCCATCAACATCAATTTTTTTTCGCGACTTGTGTTCCATTTTTTTTTAATTTTTCGTTATAAAATTTTAAAATGTATCGAATTTCTTCATTTGATTCACTCATCTTGACAGTAAGAAAAACAAATAAAAATCACACATTTTTCTAATTTGAATTTGGAATCATCCTCTTTATTTTTTTCCCCTTTTAATTATATCAAAACCAGCCAGTTACAAATGGTATAGCCAAAGAGATTTTATTACGTTCATACATACTCTAATGCGCAAAGACTTTTTCCCCAACCCATTATAATTGAGAAAACGTCATCCGCTCTAGACTAGATACAGAAGTTCCCAATATCCTTACACCAGAATGATAAAAGTTAATTATCATTAATATCTTGGCAAGCTTACCTAGCTACAGGAATTTCATACTTAATGTCCACTAGACTATTCCACTCCACGTACTAGTCATAGCCTAACTCGCTTTACTTTGCTAATTAATTTTACATAAAAATAATTTATTAGTTTAAAAATCTACCATCATTTCAATAATTCTATCTAAGTGTCACCGCACAGCACACGGGCCACACGCCAAAGCCAAAAACACCGCCACGAGAAGCTAGAAGCGGCTACTAAAGTGGCAGAAGCGCGCGACAGCAGCCGACTAAGTATCGCCGCACACGGGCAACCGGCACACAACCACAAAACGCCGCCACCGGCATATTTCTTGTAGTTTTCATACATTTTATATGGACTCGCCACACACGGTACAAACCGTCGTTGCTCGCTTCTTATGGCCCGCACCGGCCACTTAATGCGCCGATACAAAACGCCGCCACACGTCACTCAGCCGATTCCCCACCCCTCTCTCCCTTGCCTTATTCGGCCGCTGTCGCGCGCTTCTGCCACTTTAGTAGCCGCTTCTAGCTTCTCGTGGCGGTGTTTGTGGCTGTGGCGTATGGCACGTGTGCGGCGACACTAAGATAAGGGCCACAAGAAGCGAGCAATGACGATTTGTAGCGTGTGGCGGCCGTACCGTGTGTGGCGAGTCCATATAAAATGTATGAAAACTACAAGAAATATGCCGGTGGCGGCGTTTTGTGGTTGTGGTCGGTGGTGCGGCGACACTAAATAGACAATTATGATAATTATATTTAAAGTTAGTACTTTATGAGGTTGAATAGTTTGTAATTAACCCCTTTTAATACAATTTATTTTATCATGTCATAGATCATCCCTTTAAACTTAACTACGCCCTTACTTATTATACTAAGTGCTCGCAGATTTAGAAATGTTACGCGTAGGAGTAAGTAACAGAACAAAGAGCGACCTTTCAAGTTTGCCAAATGCCAAATGATATGACTGCAACACTTATCCGTTTAAAATGGATGAACTCCCACTTTCATTGATATACATGTGATAATTTACCATGTCAATAAAAAGATTAAACGTTGTTGCAATTGAAACCTTATTCATGAACAAAATTAAAAGAAAATTGCGCACTTTGTTTCCTTCAGAAAAATTAAGGGTTTTTTTTTTATTATATTACTACATGATAGTAACACGCTTGTTGTGTTAAGATCATCGAGATAGGTATTCATTAGCGATGACGACAAACTTTTGTTTTCAACGTCTATAAAATAGATTATCAAAAATTAGGGGACAGGTATTTTTTCTTTATTCACACATACAAAAGATTACAGAGATGTCGCGTAACGTCACGTTTTGATACAATTTTTACTTAATAATGACGTCACGCCTCGCGAGCTCACACTCCCAAACTTTGACGAGCTTAATCTTTGTAATTGTTTGGTTGATTGACTAAAGAAAAATAATTCTTGGTAATCTGACGTACTAAATAGAATTTCGATTACTTTACCCCGTCGGCACCCCTATTGACTAACAGAGTTCATTCAAATTTCAGCGATGGTAGGTATACGGGTATTGTCATTTTAAGCCAATTTTTACGCTACTATTTTAATTTGTCATAAATATAGTAAATGAATGTTAATTTTAAGCAAATGTTATTATTTTTCTCGATATAAATGCCGTTATTTTACTAATGCACATAAATCATCCTTGACTTACGTAGCTGTCTCTGTCTTGACAGTAGATGATCATATCATCCATATATAAATTAAATTACCAACAGGACACACGCACTCGGCACAACTTCCGAGTACACACATACTCCTCCCCGACATTCTGCGACCACTGCGGTTCCCTGCTATACGGCCTCATCCACCAAGGGCTCAAATGTCAAGGTACAACACTTCGCTTCGGGATCAACGGACTACATTTGCCAGAAAGATTTATTTAAGCTTTTTCAACGCTTGGAGTTTTAAAGCGCTTTTTGTATGCTCTCTTTAGCTCTTCTTTTTCCAGAAACTTTGGTGGTGGTTTGTGCTAATGCTTTTAACTAATTTGTCTCTTGTAGATTTAACGGCACTTATTTGGTTTACGCGTCTTTCTATTTCCTTCTTGAGAAGTTGTGTGTGTACTTCCCAAATCAAAGTTATCCTGACATACACCGTTTGTTATATTAAACTTTGATTTATTGTTAATAAGGCCGCCTACGCCCCCCACAAATGGAACACGTGGACATTCCTTGCTCCAACGTTTTGCGACCATTGTGGCACCTTGCTACATGGGCTAGCGCACCAGGGATTTAAATGCGGAGGTATTGCTAAAGAAAACGATAACTATAAAGAATGTTTTTGTGATAAACCGAGGAAAATAGCTCCCGGTGAAACCTTTAGAGGAATTGAACGTGCCTGAACATCACTGACTGTGTCTATATCACACGAAGGTAGTACAAACGAGTATGGTGTATGTCTATATGTTTGCAAAACAAAAGATAGATTGGTGAATATTTGCACTTAATCTATGTTGCATATTTAAATATAAGTAACAGTAGGATACAATCCTGAAATAAATAAATAACTTTAACGCACGCAATTTGACGCTCATCTGTATTAATCTTTTTTATGATCCTTTGTGTGTAAAATATTTTGATTATACCACTAAACTTATTGATGTTCAGCATTAAACATCCTCAAGCTTTTAATTATGTGTCCGCAACTTTTGTGCATTCTTATTTGTATGTGCTACTTATAATGTTTGTATTTGCTATATTAGGAAATAACTGGACTTTAACTCTACAGTTACTTACTCTGAAATCTGTGTAATGCTTGATTTTGTAATGTTGTCTTGCATGAGTTCGTAGTTGGTATATTCTTCTCAGATGCTCATTGTTTTCTCTTACAACGTATATAAAACACTCCAGTGGTTGACAGATGATCGTTATAATAGCGTTTTACCATTTTTTTCGTTTTTAATGGGACGAACTAATCAAATAATAGATTGACAGCATATTCCCATTTCAGAATGACTTAGCTCTTACCTAATCTAAAGATTTACAACAAATATTTGAAATCCAATATAAAAAATAGATTTCGATCTAAAAGCAAGGAAGAATAAACATTAATTTGATTTGGCCATTTCTGTAAAAATAAACGCAATCATTTGTGTGAAAATAACACAACTGTTTAATGGATTTTTAAAATGAATACTAAGTTTTTGATCCAATAATAGCCATGCCATTAACAAAATCGTTCTATTACGGGGAGACGCCCCCATTTTGATTGAGATAATGGAGGTTATAAAACCAGGATGATTTTCCCGGCAATTTGAATATTCATGAATTTCCAAACTCTACGCGTATTGGTTAATAAATTACTAACGATGAATTACACAGCTGTTTTTTTTTAAACATAATACTTTTTAAAGCTTTCAATTTGAAATATAATCAGAGGTAAAACTACCGTTTAATTACATGAGATGAATTATGTTACGAAAACCAAGGAAATGCATATTGGTATTTAATTTCAACTTCGATGATACGTGAACTGAAATTCAATAAGTGACTGTGTATAATGTAGTATCAAATGTTTCTTTTTTCAACATTCTTTATCTCTTTAATTTAAATAGTATTCGTTTAAACATCTTTCACTTCTGGAGCAACAAGTATAAAACCTCAACCACTGGTGTGACCCCATTTCCCTATTCCATGTATTCGTTTTATGTTCAGTGCTACTACGTAGTTCCTGTATTCTTTTCTTTATTCAGTTCTTTTATGAACTCAACACGTTAATCGAGCATGAAGGACTTTTGTTTATAATGAAACTTAAAAGAGTCCCTGATGCAGAAAATACTTTTTGGAAAGCTTATTACGTTTGTGAATTTTGTTAGCTAGTTAAGTATATTGGTGTACGATTTTGAAGGACCTTCTTCGATTAATTAATAGAATGTACATTTTATGTCACTTCAATGTTGTAAGTAGACTATATATACACTGTAACAAATTAACAATCTTTATAAAAACAGTGATCAAAAGAAGACACTGTTTAATTTTATAAAAAAATATTACACGAGTGCACGAATATATTATCCCCAAAGAATCAAGCCATATACAGGCATTCCTTACTGACCTATTTTTTAATTTTATTACCTAACTCCAGGGGGGATGGTGCAAAATAATGCCAAAAAATTATTATCGAAGCACGATCTCTTAACATTACTCAAAAAAAGTACATGTCTCCTCTACTACATCGTCCTCTAATACATATCCTTTCCCAGCATGCGACATGAACGTGCACAAACGGTGCGAGGAGTCGGTGCCAAACTTGTGCGGTTGCGATCACACCGAGCGTCGCGGGCGCATACAGCTAGTCGTCTCGTGCCATGGAAACAAACTCACCGTCGAAGGTAATTCAATGAACATATTCAGCATCGCAGTACGGGCATAGTTCATCATCAGCTTATTTATGTCTCCAATGCTGGGGCACTGACCTTTCCTAAAGAGGGAATAGGAAGATTATGCCATAACCCATCACGTCCGCGCTATGTAATTCGCGCTCTCTGTACATTTTGGTGGGTGCTAACGGCTGCAGATGCAGCAACGACCAACATACATTACATGTATGTACCATAAGGTAATAGCAAGGAAGGAAGACTTAAAAACTTCATAGATAATAATGGACATGGAAAATGACACATCATTTATCCCGACATTTCGTAAAATTGTAACGCAAGAAGAAGAAAAAGTAATTTCAACGCCACAGTAACAAGAACAAAAAGCAAAAAATTTTTTTATACTTTTCCAGTAAAACAAGGTCGCAACCTGATCCCGATGGATCCGAACGGCCTGTCAGACCCGTACGTGAAGATGAAGCTGATACCTGACGCGGACAACGTCAAGAGGAAAACGAAGACCATCCGCAGCACCCTCAACCCGGTGTGGAACGAGACGCTGAGCTTCGACCTGAAGGCGGAGGACAAGGACCGGCGGCTGCTCATCGAGGTACGATCCCTCTAAACTTGAAAAGGTATTTCCGAATGAGGGTTTTCTGGAATGAAACGCGCCAGGTGGCATCACTGAAACAAAAGGTCTGCTCATCCATTAAATCACCGTATGTCGTCATAGTCTATAGATGAATTTAAATGCTAGTTCGATTTTCTCGCCAAAAACTTGATACAAAAGACCCCATGTCAGTGGCGCCTTCTGGTGACGTAAATTTTTCAAAATCCGCATTACTGCCAGTGGGCATATATTATGCTTACTCATCATTAGAGTAGATACTTATTTAGAATATCATTAAAAAAACAGTACCTACCTAAATATTGACTTTGTATTAGGTGACTCAAAGGACTATAGATATGGACATACAACAATTTTGTACCAGTCCCTGTAGCATGAGCACCATAATTTAAATTATATCACGTTTTTTATCGCGTCTTACTGTCAAACTCCATAGTAATTTGACAATATTAAGCGTGATAAAAACGCGATATAAATCATACCGCGGTGCTCATGCTAGAGGCAGAATTCAATAGATAAATGACATACATTACTTACATGATAGTGATCATGAAAGGACAATTAAAATTCTTAGATAGTCTTAATATTGTTTCCTACGTGGGGACGGACGTGCTTATAAAGACGATGATGATATTATTCTTTCCCGCTTCGTGACTGCATCTTATTTTAGAGAGAAAGAGAGAGATAGCATGAATTTTCTGTCCATCCCGAGTAGTTATATTTAATGTAATTTTTAACGTTATCTAAGTACCTATAGTAGAAGATCCAAACCTACATTGACTTTCACCGAGCTGATAATAGAATGAAACATATCATGAATTTAGTATATTAGACAATATATTAAAAATGGGTTGCATAAAATAATCCTGAACATCTCCACTTGGTACAGAAACCAATTAAAAAATTAGGTACTTATTTAATAATTAAAAAAATCTATCATCACTTTATTTGACGTTGATTAAAAAAATACCGGTAAAAGCTGGCAGGTATCTATATTTTTATATATGAAAAGATACTACTACTGCTTTGAAGGTTTAAAAGTTAATCAGATTTATGATAGACGCTATTTCCATCAGCGAATACATTTCTAATATTCTATATTACTAGAAACCTCAGTGTATATAAACTGAGTATACTTTTTGTTTTCGGGTATTTATTGACGATAGTTAAATTCCTTCCTTCCGTGAAAATTTATCCTTAGGCGGGGCAAACCTCTTGAGCAAACCCGCAGACATATAAGCTTGTGCAATGTGCAGTACCTAGACGTTTTTGTATGTAAAATTGCTACAGCGCAGGCTTACTTGTCTTCGGTCATTGGTCAAGAAGTTTGCTGGGGTGTATACTTGATGATAAACATATTATATATAGACGCTTTTACAATAAATATGTAAGGATTTCACGTATATTCCAGATATGGGATTGGGACAGAACCTCCCGCAATGACTTCATGGGCTCGTTGTCGTTCGGCATATCGGAGCTGATGAAGGCGCCCGCCGACGGTTGGTTCAAGCTGCTCACTCAGGAGGAAGGCGAGTTCTACAACGTTCCTGTACCGGAGGAAGGCACTGATCTCGCCCATCTCAAGAATCAGATGAGGGCTACCAGTGTGGGGGCTAGGAGGGCTCCGCCACCGCCTGATAGAGAGGTCCCACACAACATGGCCGCCGCTGATGTCATCAGGGCATCCGACTTCAACTTCATTATGGTGCTGGGCAAAGGATCATTCGGGAAGGTGAGATCTTGGAATATGGTATTCAGTAAGATTCGAAATGATGCGACTATAAGAACCCGATGAGGGCCACCAGTGCTGGGGTAGGAGGGCGCTCACACCGCCTGTCCCACACAATATAGCCGTCGCTGACGTCATCAGAGCATCTGACTTCAACTTCATTATGGTGCTGCCTGGGCAAAGGATCTTTCGGGAAGGCGAGTGAGAGATTTTGCAATGTAGTAGGTAGTTCTTTTTGGATTCAAAGTGATGCTATTCCAAGAACCAGATGAGAGCAACCAAAGTCGGGGCTAGGAGAGGTCACCTGCTGCCTGACCACATACCAAAGTAAACTTAGCATTATAATCATTTTCATTGTATATGTGGGCCGATCCCGACGGCACTGCAATGCCGGGCCGACCCGTGACGGGAGTGGAGCGAGCCCCGAACATCCCGTCGATTTACAAAAATCAGTTTAATATACTGGTCCCTCAGTGAGGGAACTTTCAGATATTAAGCTGAAAAGAACAGATACTACACTTTGATCTTAGCCAAAAGGCCGAGAAGCGATGTCGAAATGGCGGCAACGGAGGGGTGTCAATAAACTAGCAACAAACTCAACATCGCGATTTAGAAAGCAAACTCGAACTACGCTAGCGCCATCTATTGACACACTTAACAATTACATTAACCGTACGAGAAAAGTTTTAAAGCATAACTTGTATACCACATCAAGAATGTTATGTGCTGTTTAAAACATGCAAGTCATTTATTGCTTCAATTTAATCGCTTAAAACAAAGTGCATCAATTCCCTGAAACGCCTATATTAACGAGGTAAAGAACTAAAGCAAGTCCAGAGTGATGTATTCAACCCGATCACTTGCTCAGACTGTCATACTAGCAGTTTTGATTGATAAAAAATTAAAGTTCCTACTTTTTTATCACATACTGGCAGTACTCATTAAGCACTAAATTATTAACCGTTGATTATCATAGATCTTCGATCTAGAGTGATGTATTCAACCCGGTCACTTGCTCAGACTGTCAAACTAGCAGTTTTGATTGATATTTTTCTTTTTCGAATTTTTTTATCAGATACTGCCAGCGCTCATTAAGCACTAAATTCCCTATGCATTGCTTTAGTTCTTTACCTCGTTAATATAGGCGTTTCAGGGAATACACTGCTAGCTTAATTAAAAGCTGGCAGTGTTCTAATTTTTCGCGAAACTATGAGAGCATTAAATTTCAGGTTTTGGCACTATATTAGCACTAATTGATGCACTTTGTTTTAAGCGATTAAATTGAAGCAATAAATGACTTGCATGTTTTAAACAGCACATAACATTCTTGATGTGGTATACAAGTTATGCTTTAAAACTTTTCTCGTACGGTTAATGTAATTGTTAAGTGTGTCAATAGATGGCGCTAGCGTAGTTCGAGTTTGCTTTCTAAATCGCGATGTTGAGTTTGTTGCTAGTTTATTGACACCCCTCCGTTGCCGCCATTTCGACATCGCTTCTCGGCCTTTTGGCTAAGATCAAAGTGTAGTATCTGTTCTTTTCAGCTTAATATCTGAAAGTTCCCTCACTGAGGGACCAGTATATTAAACTGATTTTTGTAAATCGACGGGATGTTCGGGGCTCGCTCCACTCCCGTCACGGGTCGGCCCGGCATTGCAGTGCCGCCGGGATCGGCCCACATATACAATGAAAATGATTAAAATGGCAAGTTTACTTTGGTAGTTAGTTAATTAATAATATTAATCTTTCAATCCTCTCAGATTACTAAATTTTACATTAAATGTACGAATATTTAATTTATTATTCAATTAATAATTACGCTACGTGATTTAAAAACATATCAATCTATTTTATTATTTTTCAATAGATAACTAGGAACGTGAGATTGGAAAGTGGAATGGTAAAGAATCAATTAAATAAAAGTCGATCTTTCTTTATTCAAAATTAATCGATTTGTCAAAAATCGACATTATTAGAAATAAGTAATCGACTTTGCGAAAAAATCTATTTGTTCATATTATTTAAAAGTACATGCTTTTTAAATTCCAATAATACACCTAAGAGATTCATATTAAAAATCAAATAAAATTATGTGTATAAAAAAATACCATTTCCAAACTATAAATCAAATGCAATGTTCCTTTAAAATTTCAATGTAAGGAATTAGGAAACCAGATAGCATTATTGATACAAATTTTAGTACTATTCAACATTTTATTTATTATAATAAAAATTAAATGATGAGCATCCCAACAAAATGACAAACTTATTGTCTTATAAACGAAATATAAATTTATTTTTAAAAAATGCCATAAATGTCCAGTCCTAATTTTACATTTGACTAGTTTTAAAATAAAACTCTAAAAAGTCTCAAAAACAAAATTAAAATTCTCAAATCTTTCGTTAATCTACAAGTTTGAACAATACATAATAATTATTGTCACAAATGTCCTGTCCTATTTTACATTTGACTAGTATTAAAATAATATACTTATATAAATTTTAAAAATCCAGAACAACTACGTTACAGATGGTGTCGTTTCTATTTAATCAACTTATACGTATGATCTTTATTCGAGATTTTTCATGCTTACTGCATGATTTTTTCATCCGTCACATGATATTAAACAAAATCATAATAATCGATATAAATAAAATCAATTAATTTTTAACATCCCTATAGTTAACGTGAATCGAATAGCGTTCCGTATTCGATTTAGGTCACCTGACACCAGTACAACTACTTCTACTTAAGTACTAACATGGAATTCAGTATTTTCATTAATTGAAGGAAACGTGCCCTTGTCATGAAAGAAAAAAAATGCTGCCTCTTCCGCGCATGATGCAATTTAAGACAAAGGATAAGATTTGGAAATCGTCCACTATTGTTTTCAGGTAATGCTAGCAGAGCGGCGGGGCACGGACGAGCTGTACGCCATCAAGATTCTGAAGAAGGACATCATCATACAGGACGACGACGTGGAGTGCACCATGGTGGAGAAGCGGGTGCTCGCACTCAGCACCAAGCCGCCCTTCTTGGTGCAACTGCATTCCTGTTTTCAGACCATGGTATGTACTGTAACTGCCTTGCTTTCTTTCTCGAACTAACGGCTGCTTGCCAACAGAATCACACTAATATTATAAAGGCGAAAGTTTGTGAGTGTGCATGTTTGTTACTTCTTCACGTCTAAACGGCTGGAGCGATTTTGAATATAATTTGGTATGGAGTTAGTTAACCGCGGGTAACACCGACGGGGACAGCTAGTGTATATCTATCTATAAAAAATAATTAATGTACGAAATGTATGTATGTATTGTACGAGCATAACTTTGAACGATGTTTTTCTAGTGTTGGTTAGTGTCAGGCCAAGGTTTTCTATAAAATAAAATAAAAAAACGAATAGAAAATAAATAAGGCAGTACAAATTCCGCTGACACAGCTGATTGGCTAGTAGTTTATAATTTAAACTAGCGGCCCGCCCTCGCTTCGGTTCGGTGTGGAGCTGAAGTGTAGACTACAGTTTTTGTTCTCAGGCTTGTATTATACACAATGACATTCATATATGATTCTTCTTATACCTGCATGCAAACTCTCAGTTTAAAATTGACAAAGTTTCATACAAACTTTCATTCCCTATTTTATCCCCTTGGGGGTAGAATTGATCAAAATCCTCTCCTAGCGGATGCCTACGTCATTACATCTACCTGCATGCCAAATTTCCATAGATATAACGGATGAGATCAGCATCCTGCAGATCTGCAAAACGAATTTCAAAGAAGAGTAGGTTCGCAGTGGCAAGTCGTTACTCTTCCGGTCCATCGGCAGAAACTTAGGCAGGAATTTATAAAATAACACCAACTGGTATTTTTACGCAGGGGATATCGCGTTCACCCACTAGTATTCAAATAAGTTATTTGCATTTTCCAGGATCGTTTGTATTTCGTGATGGAATACGTCAATGGAGGAGATCTCATGTTTCAAATACAGCAGTGCGGCAAATTTAAGGAGCCTGTAGCTGTGTAAGTTATTTTAGTCAATTTGATTTAGATCACATTTAGGGCTAAAACAAATTTATTTTCTAAATAAATTGTTATGTAATCGAAGAAACGTTTCATGCCTATCATCAAAAAATAAAATAAAATAAAATGAATAACAAATTGGCACAAATAAAACTAGTTTTAACGAGTTAATGCACGAACTTTATTTATTTATTGATGTTTCGCAGCCTTTTCAGGTCTGCATCGTCAGAATAATCTGATGCAGACCTGAAAAGGCTGCGAAACGTCAATAATTAAATAAAGTTCGTGCATTAACCCGTTAAAACCAGTTTTATTTAATGAGTGATGTGCGTGAAAACCTATTGAAACAAATAAATTGGCACAAATTTTAATTTTGTCCGTATCTGGTATCAGACGAATAATTTTTATCCAGGATTTCAAAATGAAAAGAAATTGGTAGTGAAAATAATCATTATCAAACTAGCTGGTACATAAAAATTAAAATGTATATTTGAAATTTCGATCCGCATGCAAAACAAGGTGTGCGACACTTTTTTTTTTATATAGCCAGATAGGCACATGGCTCTACCCCACCTGATGTTAAGTGGTGATGAAGTCCAAACGCGAAGATAGCTGGTACAGCAGTTAAAAACTGCCACACCAACCATCCTCACCTTGCCGGCCCGCAAAAATGCTTCTTCACTCCTCTCTTAAAGGACCCCAGATTGTAGGAAGGAGGGAACACGTGCGCGAACAAAGAATTCCACTTACGAATAGTACGACAAAGAAATGAGTCACCGAATTTCTTTGTTCGTGTAGGAATAGTGGCCACAGTAAGTCGGTGGCAACGTAGGTCAGCGCGCGTGTTCCTCTGAAGAAAAGATCATATTTTACTATTGGAAAAAATAACCAATTCTCATTCTTTTAATAAAACAAAACTTGTCTCCATTACGAGTATATAAAACCGAACACTATGCCACTATAAATAAGTTACGAATTTCTCTATTCCAGTTTCTACTCTGTCGAGATAGCTATAGGCCTATTCTTCCTGCACGCCCGCGGCATAGTCTACCGGGACCTAAAGCTCGACAACGTTTTACTAGACCAAGACGGCCACATCAAGATCGCAGACTTCGGCATGTGCAAGGAAGGCATTACCGGTGACAAAACAACCAAGACCTTCTGCGGTACTCCAGATTATATCGCGCCTGAGATCATCTTATACCAGCCGTACGGAAAGTCGGTTGATTGGTGGGCGTATGGAGTGTTGTTGTATGAGATGCTGGTGGGACAGCCGCCTTTTGATGGAGAGGATGAGGAGGAACTGTTCGCGGCCATCACTGACAATAGCGTGTCTTATCCGAAGACTTTGAGTAAGGTAAGCCTATCTGCGAATCCAAAAAGTGATCCATTGACATTCCTAAAGAAAACTTGAATTATAAGACGGTATCGTCTCGCTTTAATCATAATCAAAATCATTTATTCAGTTTAGGCAATTACAAGCACTCATGAATGTCTTGAAGCTACGCCATCGGTTCGTCTACGGCGGGAGACCTTGTACTGAGAACCCGCAAGAAACTCAGCAAGGGCTGTATTTTCTCCCTGTTTCATTGTTTACAGAGTCGTCAAGTTGAAAACTGACTTTAGAGATGATTTATGAATTTAAGTATATAGACTTGAACCGTTTTAAAACATTATTATGTACCTAGATGGTAGTTAGAACCATAGACATATAGAGATATAATAGTATACCTTAACCAGCTATTAGATAAATTCGAATGCAAACTACTTGGCTGTGTCTCTTTCACACTTTCTGCCAGTTGATCTTTCACGATGGTCCCACGAAATCGCTTTCTTTCTTTCTAGAGACTAATCATTCAGGTATTTCTTAGTTCTTTCTCTATGTCTAAGGTGAGAGGACACATTTTATTTAAAAGGCGTATTCATTAACCTTACATTAACATAAATGTTATAAGTTTCTACTACTTCATGCAGATGATAAGATAATAGTTGATTTAATTTAATACAATTTCTATTTTATGCGTTCAGTCTTTTCTACACTGAAGACTATGCAAACATGAAAGAGCTTACGTGTATAAAAGCTGGTTGGAGTTACGACAACACAACTAGGAGTTATATTTGATAATTACAGAAATGTCAGAATCAGATTGTTTCTGTTTACTTAACAAGCGAGTGTGTCTTGCAGGAGGCGAAGGACGCGTGCAAATCTTTCTTGACCAAGAACCCGCTGAAACGTCTCGGATGCGGCGCGCGCGGCGAGGACGACGTGCGCACGCATCCCTTCTTCCGGCGCATCGACTGGGCGCGCGTGGAGGCGCGCGACGTGCAGCCCCCCTTCAAGCCCAAGATCGTGAGTCTCTCTCTCCCGCACCACCTATCCCTCTCGCACGCATCCCTTCTTCCGGCGCATCGACTGGGCGCGCGTGGAGGCGCGCGACGTGCAGCCCCCCTTCAAGCCCAAGATCGTGAGTCTCTCTCTCCCGCATCACCTATCCCTCTCGCACGCATCCCTTCTTCCGGCGCATCGACTGGGCGCGCGTGGAGGCGCGCGACGTGCAGCCCCCCTTCAAGCCCAAGATCGTGAGTCTCTCTCTCCCGCATCACCTATCCCTCTCGCACGCATCCCTTCTTCCGGCGCATCGACTGGGCGCGCGTGGAGGCGCGCGACGTGCAGCCCCCCTTCAAGCCCAAGATCGTGAGTCTCTCTCTCCCGCATCACCTATCCCTCTCGCACGCATCCCTTCTTCCGGCGCATCGACTGGGCGCGCGTGGAGGCGCGCGACGTGCAGCCCCCCTTCAATCCCAAGATCGTGAGTCTCTCTCTCCCGCACCACCTATCCCTCTCGCACGCATCCCTTCTTCCGGCGCATCGACTGGGCGCGCGTGGAGGCGCGCGACGTGCAGCCCCCTTCAAGCCCAAGATCGTGAGTCTCTCTCTCCCGCACCACCTATCCCTCTCGCACGCATCCCTTCTTCCGGCGCATCGACTGGGCGCGCGTGGAGGCGCGCGACGTGCAGCCCCCCTTCAAGCCCAAGATCGTGAGTCTCTCTCTCCCGTATCACCTATCCCTCTCGCACGCATCCCTTCTTCCGGCGCATCGACTGGGCGCGCGTGGAGGCGCGCGACGTGCAGCCCCCCTTCAAGCCCAAGATCGTGAGTCTCTCTCCCGTCCAGCTATCCCTCTCACACGCATCCCTTCTTCCGGCGCATAAACTGGGCGCACATGGAGGCGCGCGACGTGTAGCCCCTCTTCAAGCCCAAGATCGTGAGTCTCTCTCCCGAGCCACCTATACCTCTCGAACACGCCCCATCTGCCGGCGCATCGATAGGGTGCCCCCTCTCGACAACAACTAAGGAAAACCAAATCTGAGTCCCAGAGACGCCATCTAATGGAGCTGACTTCCTCAGGCTCGAACGGTTTAGCAAGTGGGTCAAGACGTGACTCTTTCCGGAAGGAAATACCATCCGCTTGGAACACCACTAGAGGCACTTGGCAATTCCCAGCTTGAGGTCCCTTTAGAATGTCCCTAAACCCGTTGACGTTGTGAAGCTCAATTCAGCCCGGAATGGCAGCGATGCGGCAAGCACTTTCTCGCTGAAAACGGTATGAAATAATTTTAAACTTTATCTGCACACTTAAGACTCGTATCGCGCAGTCTACACGGTCGCCCGCTCATGACACACCTCGCAACCTTTACAAGTGGGTCTGGTGTTTTTAATTACATTTTAAATTCATGATGAACCTCGACCAGACCGATTTTAAAATTATTTCACGCCGCCTTCAGCGATGACGTGCCCGCCTCGTCGCTGCCGGCCACTGCCATTTTGATGTGAATTAACCCTAGAGATCTCCAGCGACCAACAGCATACACATTAAAAAAAAACTACGCATCAACAGATAGATCATTAATTCGTGACGTTTATTACAGAAACACCGCAAGGACGTATCGAACTTCGACAAACAGTTCACGCAGGAGAAGACGGAGCTGACGCCGACCGACAAGCTGTTCATGATGAACCTCGACCAGACCGAGTTCATGGGCTTCTCCTTCCTCAACCCGGAGTACGTGCAGCACGTGTGAACCGCACAGGTGGGCATTTCATCATCAGACTATTAATTTCCTACTGTAGTACACAGTAATTTTCTATGGATGGATATACATCAAATGAGTCTAATTTTAAAAACTCATATTTTTTCATTTGTTAATAATAATGAATAAGAAATTTGATTTATAAGTGACTAAAGAATAAAACATTTGAATATTAATTTCGAAACGACAATATACAGGGTGGTCCAATTAGTGACGTCATAGCGTGAGCTGAGTACCCTTAGTACGAACCAATATCGAATTCGAATAGTTTGCGAGTGCGAAATGTCAATGTCAAATTTTGTATGTCAATGTTAATAAAACTTGAACAGCAGCGCCGCAAAGTACGTAACGATAACTAAAAATCAGTACACATTTGACAATGACATTTCGGATTCGCAAACTATTCGAATTCGATATTGGTTCGTGCTAAGGGTACTGGCGTTGAAATAGACGTTCAACGCCAGTACCCTTAGCTGTCGGCATCGACAGGCAACTGATTGATTAAGGGAGGGTCGACTTTACAGCGGTCAAGCTCATGTCAAGTAACATGGTAAAGATGAAAGCAATAATTTGTGGTGATATAATAAAAGTTTCGCTTTAAATGAACTTGTCCCAGGCATTAGGGTGCTTTTCCACCAGAGATTTGTTTATTTATTTATTTGGCGATGTGCTATGCTACGACGAAACTACGTTTCCACTGATGCTAAGCTATTTAGCGGGGCGAGTAAGATGTGCTATGAAGATGCGCCGTCGCAAAGTAGCTGCGGGAGGAGGATGCGTAGGAGCTATTATGCGATTCAAATAAGAATAGGAAAGCCGATGACCTCCAACTGTGAAATGTCGCTTGAAAAGTACGGTTTTCAAAAAAATCCTTGGAACCCTTTTTTAGCACTTTGCTAATTCTAAATTAAAAACCGCACATTTGTAAACGAAGAATAACAAATATTGATAATTAATATTGGTTGATATTTTTTTTCATTTATTGAGCTTTGGCTATGAATGGTTGATAACCTAAACCGTCAACCAAACTTTAAGTTGCGTTCAGAAACTTAATTTAAAACTTTCGTTTACCTAAAGGATGCATGTTAGTATGTGACCTAGTAATATATAACCTCACTTAATCTTAGTTAGAAGTTTTATTAAATAATTTTTTTTTTGCTCACTCTACTTATTTGGTTTGAATTGACAGCTATGGCGTCAATATATGGCGCCCAGTCGGTCCTATTCTTATTTGAATCGCATTATACTTTGTCTACTTTCAGTGTCAAACGGGGGCACTCTTCTCTTGATATAGTTACACCACTCGCGGCCATCATAGCCGGCATCCAGTGCACGCATCCTTCCATATAAAAACATAGCTTAGTTGAACCCGTTTCCACCAGTGTTAATCCAAGTGGACCAATTTATTTGATTGGTGGATATCAAACGCATCCACAACAACGTAGCATAGCAAATCTCTGGTGGAAAAGCAGCCACCAGACTAAGTAACATATAATATTTAATTAAGATACCAAAGCACGCATCCTTCCATATAAAAACATAGCTTAGTTGAACCCATTTCCAACAGTGCTATGCTATGTAGCCAATGAATTTGATTGGTGGATATCCAACGCATCCACAGCAACGTAGCATAGCAAATCTTTGATGGAAAAGCAGCCTTAGCCTGGTATCTTACTTAAATATTATATGTTACTTATAACGAGCTTTCACATAATTATACCTTTTCATATATTCCAGGGTTGAATCACTCCTCTAACTCTATAGAAGCTGACTCACTCGACGTCGCTCCGGCGTCGGAGCGCGGGTATCTCTCCACCTGTCGACTGTCTCTGTCACTCTCGCGGCGAGCACCGTTCGCCATCTCGTTCACTCGTTCACGCTCGACTGTAAACTATATTTCTGGAACTGATCTTCCTCAAGAATATAAGGAAATGCGAAGAATGGTTAATACGAATGAGTTGGGAAGATTATGTTCGTACAAAATCTTTTTATTATTTCTGGAAATTTCGATCAAACCTATCCACTACCAATCTCTAATACCCATCCAATGCGACATGACTTATTTATTAATTAAGTTTAACTGCACTATGCTATTTATATTTGCAATAATTTTTACTCTTCAATCTTATGCAATAATATTAAAATTTAAAATGCGTCTCAACGAATTTCACAAAGCAATACTAATACTTAATAACTAATTCGTTGTAAAAAAAATGTGAAGCTCTCTCACTATTTTAGATTTTTATGTTTTTTTTTTATTTATTATCACTACCATTTGCGTTTGATACAAGAACTTCTTAGAATCTCACATTAATCTCTATAAGTATCAAGAATATATCATTGTATTGGGGCCACACAGTAATGTTAGTGTAAAATCGCTCATACAATTTTTAGACTTCGCCTTCGTTGTGTTAGTTGAAGCGAAGTGGGTAGAAGCAAAACTGGGAAGCGTAATGCTTCGCTGTTATTATTTGATTTGGGTAACTTTGCATGTGTGCGAGGCTTGAAAATGTAATTTGGTTGTTTCCTCATTCAGTCACATATCAATGTATGTAAATAAGGTTTAATGTCGTGTCGTGTGGATGGCGCTTCTATAACGCAATTCGGACTGTTTGCTTTTTAATTTTTCAATCACTTTCGAATGAAAGACTCATTTGAGAAGCTCACTTTAAATTAAGAACGTCGAAGTGTGTTGTTTTTTTTATTATTCGTGTTTTGTTTATTATTGTTGTTAACTGTCATTTTATTGGTTGAGTTTAGTCGAATAGATCCTTTTTCTCTGTGGCTAAGCTATATCCACTTACATTAAGTTTTCATTGTCTATCGTCGATTGTTAATTTGTTTTATGGATTTTAATAATTATTATGTAGATTCGCTCTATCGTGATTGCATTTTGTGATGTATGATCTAATCATATTGTATGAGCTTGTTTTAATATATGTATGTGGCGTGCGTGTTTGTGTGTATGTGTGTGTGCGTGTAACTTTGTTTTCATATTGTTGTCCTTGTAGATGGTATGGGTTAACGGTTCTGATTTTTTATAATTTGGATATGAGTACATTTTTGAAGTTTCGCTTTGCATTATTGAAGGCCGGAATGAAAAATGTACGGAAACCTTTGCTAATATGTCCCGTTAAATATTATCTGTATTATAAGTATGATAATGTTGTTTGTTTTTTGGTTTTAAACCCGAATTTCTCATGATGACAAATGTATACTTCGTACACTGCCCTTTAGAAATATAATAGTATTTTTAATTATTTAAGATTGTTTTTAAATTATTTATTTTCCTTAGTAAACTAAATATTTACCTGATTTTAATGTTTGGTTGGTTAATAATACTGTTTAAAAGGACAACAGTAACAGCTTATATGGAGCTGTCAATAATCGTCTACTAAAATAGCCTTACTAACTTAAAATTACTTATTAAATTAGTGTCGTTAATAAAATACATTTAAAAATCGTCTAACATTCTTGTTAGGACCCATTTACGTTGCATTTGAAGGGTAGCGAAGTATTAACGGTCGCATATTGGCCCTTATGCTTCTCGTAATAAGGTAGTTTATTCATTTGGAGGACAAACACATGCGTATATTCTTGCATGGCCTCGTATCTGTTCATATTTTACAATTTGAACCTTATGTTAAGTGAATACAGTCCATTTTAGAGCGTCAACTGCGATTTTAAAACCTCTCTCCCCTTCAAAGGCAGTATGAATCGAGCCTTAGATTAAAAAAAATGTGAATTTAAAAATGAGAAAAAAGCATTCGATTCTAAAAATGAATTGTAATAAAATGACATTTTAGGTGTTTTGATTTGTTTTTAATAATTATGTTTTCTAGCAAAGTCTTCGATTGTTGTATCTTCGGAGTGTGATGTAGTTGCGTCTTCGTAATTTAAAATTAATATATAATACATAGTTAATTTTAAATCCGATCTCCGTTCATGTCGTGTGTAAAACAATACTATTCCCGAAGGTTATTTTATTGTGTAAGGTATAAAGTTTTTAGAATTAATTTCAATTCTTTGTTAGGTTTAAGTAAAAAGTTTAGGTTAGGTTGCTGGCTCATTTTTGAAACTATTGAAAGTTTGCTATATTTATATAGGTACGATATCGAAATACTGAGTTTTTATTGGCAGTTATTGAAATCAAGTAATACATATTATATATCTTATAAGCAGACCATTTTATAGGGTTTTCGCTAATCTACAAAGACGATTCAGGAATTTGATTATTGACAATTTAACCTTAAGAACAACAGAAGTACTTATACAATAATGATATGAATTTTATTCTCACGTTACGAAATGTAAAAAAAATATAACTTTTGATGGAAAATTCAAAAATGTTAATGAGGTTGTGCATTTCTCTGTCGAAAACCATTTCATGCCAAGTTTAAAGGTCATAACGTCTGCATAATTGATCTGCGAGATTTTTCAAATAAAGTTGAATGATATCCAAGTTAAATCGACCCGCCGGCCCGCCGGATTGATCAGCGAGATATCTGAAATAAAGTTGAATGGTTTAGTTGTAGAAATGGGCCAGCATAGTAGGTTAATTCAGCTGGAGAGGGAGACAAAGTAGCGACCGCCTTTGGCGATACCCACCGCACGCAATTTACGGTATACAGCGTTGGAATCTTATCTTAAATATAATATAACCACATGAGTAAAGTATTCACACAGGCTTAGCTTCGTACAATGAGAGAGCTGGCGCAAGATGGCAGCACTGAGTCGAAAGATCCACGCATTCGTCAGATCTCTAAAGTTTTCAAAGTCTGTGAACTAATTTAAATTATTTCTCGATGATTTCACGCCAAAAACTTCATAGAGAAGGCCTGCTCCTAATCCGAGAAGATAATTCTTACTAATTAAACCAAAACTCGAAACAAACGACGCGTCAGCGTCATCTGTCGGTGATATTTTGTAATAACATGTGACTAATGTGATTGGTCTAATCGATCGTTTTTTGTTGTTAATCATCTGAAACAGAATCGTTCACAACTTTAAAGCCAAATAAGCTCTTATGAGACGATCAGACAACGCAGGTAATAAAAATAACAATTTAGTTTAATAGGCAGTATCGTTTTATAACAAAATCCCTTATAATTACGATTTATGATTACGATAAGGTTCCAGCTGTTCTGTATGCCGACAGCACCATCCCAAGCTATATTAGCATTATTGACACTAATTCGATTCTAAACACCAAAACAGTATAAAGCATAATAATGCTTAGATAATATAGTACCCCATAAGAACACCAGTGCCATTAATTCTTAACACTAAACAGTCCAGCTCCCGTAGCATGAGCACCACAATTTACATACCATATCACGTTTTATATCGCGTCAAACTGTCATACTTCATAGTAATTTGACAAATGAGCGTGATAAAAACGAGTTATATATCATATCGTGTGCTCATGCTAGGGGGACAGTGGACTGACCGGTACACACGGGTAACTTTTGCTTATGTACCGTATGCGGTACACAAATTGATCTGCCACTGTACCATTAATTATAGCATCAACAATTTACAGTACGTCCCTTTGTCAATCATAATAGTGTTTTTAATGTTAAATAACCTCTACCCAGCTACCTATCTATTGCTTTTAGACGCAATTGCAAAAGATTTACCTAAATGCGTAGTGACACACAAGAAACGATATTTTAACTGAGTTATACCTAATTGAGCATAATATTTTTTATGCGATCTTTAATTTTCGATACTTTCTGTTATGTATTTATGGAAAAAGTGTTAAGGTGACATTAGCTTGAATTTTACCTTAAAAACTGAAAGTAAGTATCTAAGGACATTGCTCGTTCCCCATACATTGAATGCCCTAGAACGCCCAGCAATGAGAAAATGCTAGTTATGTTCGGAATCATTCATAAACTCTATATATGCTTTTGTTGAGATACGGACAACTTGAGGAACCGTGGCCTACTACAGAATGTAGTTGATTTTGAGGTTATAATTATTATACTTAATCGTAAAAGATGTACACTTTATATATTCTGAATAGATTTAGTGTTTACCTCTATGCAAGCACTTAAATAATATACATTAAATGAATATAAAATGCAATTAATAATAAAAATATTAAATGCTTATATTCATATTGATTAATGAGTGTTGTCAGTTGGCACCTACGATACCAATACCTTACCTGTAGTAATAATAGATTTCTTTTCAAATGAAATGTTCAGTCTTTCCATTTACCTGTTTCTATATTTTACTATCGGAAATTAGGTATGTACCTGGTTATCATTATGATTTTCATAAAATAAACAGATATTATATGGGATGGGAGTATAAACTATCTTTACGTAATTTCAGAAATAATCTTTTTATAAATATAATACTAGTAATAAGTATTATTAACTAAGGTATCTCTATTTTTCTTTTGATAAATACCTATGGTCGCCTCTAATGCATTTATTAAGGTAAACAATCTTGGCACAACTTTTTAACAGAATCACCCATTTAATAATAAAATATTAACGAAGCCAATAAACTATTAAAATAAATCGTTATTATAGACTGAAACCTTTTGAATCCAGTTATCAGTTGATTTTTAATGCTGTTTTTTCAATAAAAAGGAGTGCCAAGTTGGATGAATAGACTGTAGTATCTAGTAACAGAACTTTATTTTTTTATTTTTTTAAACAGATTGTCCGTTTACTATGATTAATTGCTAATATGTTAAAAAAATAATAGAAAGATAATAGTGAAGGACATTCTTTTGGGCATGCTAGGGCCGATTTCGTCGATGTCCTTTATTGAGATATAGCGCAAGCAATTGTCGCCTTAAAGGGTCAGAACACCAACTTCTTAGACGGAACAAGTTATTTTGTAAACCAGTCTCATATGCTTTTTTTATTTTTAGTATTTTTTTTTTAAATATATTTCTTGTGTAGGCACTATGTTAAAGACAACTCATAATTTGTAGTATCTTCACCCTCGAATCGCACCTCTAAAGAGTTGGTAATTTACTTACAATTATGTACTTCTATAGCATTCTCAATCTTGCATGTCCTGGTTTGGATGACGTTTTCTCTATGAGATGTCATGCTAGCCAATGTGACCTCTGTTAATTTAATTACAAGGCTCATTACAAACAACATACATTTTGAAGTTTGTTAGATATTCATGCAGCATAATCTTTATTAATAAGGGAAAAAGATTTATTTAAACAAGAAACTTACAGTTACAGCCAAGACATTAATAACTTTATGATGACAAAAGAAAGAAACCGACTTTAGTCTAACTATAAAGTTAACTGACATCTGAGAGAGTGAATGTTGTCTGTGATGGGTCATAAATCTAGTTCATTGTTTATCTCATTAAAATTATATTAGATCTGCTAGCTTCACGCCTTTGACACCCTTAATTTTACTATGACTTGGTCAGTATAGGTTAAAAAACTATTATAGATTAAAAAAAAAAGTTTTAAAAACTTGTAGGTGGATGACGTATGAAGCCATTTTAATCATTTAATCACTAAGATCTCACTTGTAAATAGGCATAAACGCGTTATTAACTGGTCACTAAGTATTAAAAAGTATTGGGAAGGAAACATAGTGCTTTTGATTAAATCATATTAGCTTGAGTCACCATCGAAGGTCATCATACTTATTCTTTGACATCTGTTAAATATTTTTTTCTCGAATGGGAACTACTTAGCTGTAAACTGGAAGTGTTGTCTATGAATAGGTATGGCATGTGTTCAGTGAGAATTAGTTCGTAATTAAACTTGATATTATTTAGCATAGACTATAAATTACTTATAGCGTTAGTTTGCTCTTCCTAAGTGATTGTTTTCTAATTCCTAGTGGAAATGGATGCGTTCAGATGTGTTCACTGGATGTCTTATTGAACGGATCGGCGAATTCCATGATGAATTGTTATTTGAAATTGTATCTAACCGAAATTGTATCTAGTCGATGGTGCACGTAGAGATTATAATCTCCTGCGCTCGGTTCTGGTAGCTTATAGAGATTCTATCAACTGTTATGTTCGAGCTCAAGGGATTATCGACCTTATGTGCAAGTAGCCAAGTCCTTCTTGTTGTCTTTTTAGATATGAGGGAGTAATTTCATCTTTTTGAAGGTCCTATTGGGGAGAAAATGCATAGCACTGCTACGTTTGCATAGTTAATTAAGCGAATTTAATTACCAATGCTTTCTCACTTATGGTAATCGACAAACACCGTGCATATAAATTAGAGCAACAACGCAGGAGCATGAGATTACTCCCCGAAAAAACGTGAATATCAAAGAAAATCACATTCAAAATGGCCGTTCCGTATCCAATGATGACTTACTGAGATTACGGAGCTCATCCTGCCTGGAAGTAACATTGCAAAGCATTCGCTAACTATAGTAAAATTCATTATTCTATATTTAATTACGTGGTAATGAAAGATATCAAGTAAAAATATTAAATCTACCTATATTATCGAATTATACCAATTACAAGGATAGCTGTTTGTAACCTAGGTAATAGTTTACGTAGTTGATATATACTTACCTATGTATCTATTTTGAGGTTTACGATTTGAATACCTAATTATTGTTAATATATCATTAAATAAGAGAGTAAGATTAAAATTAATTTGCAAAAGCTTTGGAGTGTTACTTCTTAGATTTGAGCTCAAATATATCGTGAAATACATTGCTTTGATATACGATGAGCAACGTTTGTATGGTTTACATATTTTAGCTCCATTGCTTAATGAGTTCTGATCTGGGGTTGCCAAGGCTTCGGATTTTTGCTAGAAATCCATAATTTTACAATATTTTTTGTCAGGACTTTCAAAAATATTTAATTAGACTATTTTGCTTTTTATATTGCCTTATTTGAAAAGCAATAAAGTAGTTATTTCAGTAAAACAAAAAGAAATAAATTCAGTCGAGTCTTCATTTGAGGACATTTCAATTTCTAAAATGGTAACCCCAGTTCGCGGATATAAGTACGCTGCTAATTGTAAGGTACGTCAGCACAGAAGTGACACGTCTACAATGAGCGCTTTTCAAGAGAGGGGTTTCGTCGTATCCGTTCCAGTGACAGACTCTGGTTTGGGAGCCACAAGTCACAGTTCCTGTCGCTCGAACGACTACAGCGCCGACCCATCCCTTGGAAATCCATAACCTTAAAGCTAACTAAAGTAGAGGTCGCGGCAGACATCTTAAGCCGAACCACAGACAAATAAACTTGCGCAGTAGTTTTTGTATGAAAAATTGCTCGTGTGTAGGGTTCCTTGTCTTTGGTCGAAGCTCAAGATGTCTGCCGGGATGTATAGAAGTGTTTTTGAGGAAAATCTCACTCAAGCAAGCTTAGGCCTAAACTCACATTTTCTAGTATAAGCCCATAGTTAATACAGGTCTTAATATACTTTTTATTATTAAAATATTTTACTAATGCATAATGATAAATTGACGTGTTTGAAGTAACGCAGCGGCCGTATTTAGATATTGTTCGCTAACAAGCACCAACATCTGTGCCAAAATATATTTGTAAATATTTTTCCATTTAATTAGATGTATTCTATTGAATATTATGGATTATGATAAAATCAATCACTTTATGTAGTTACCAGCGTTTCATTGTGATTCTCGTGTTACTGGTGAGTTGTAAAGGGAAATTTAATATTAATAAAATTTGATTCTTTATTCCAACTCCAGTAGCATGCAGAAAAGTTAATTTATTAATGTTTCATAATTAAATTTAGCACTTTCCTTTGTATTATAAATAACGATCACCTCTACATTGTTATTATTAGTGGACTAGTATTAGCATAAAAAATGCTTCCTGGCATTTCTGAACTGTAAGTCTCGACACCAAAATGAGCTTTTGTGTGAATAAACGGGAAACTTCCTGAGCAGCGACCATAGACTAGGAAGCCTGCGCAGTAGCAATTCTACATACAGAAACATCTACTGCGCAAGTTTATTTGTCTGTGGTTTTACTGAAAGAAGTTTGCCGCTACCTATAACTACAGGCAACAGCCGGATCAGTTTTACCAAATCTGTGAAATCTTTCCTCCTACATAGAATGAATCGTAACGTTTTTTCAAAGTTCAATATCGGATGACGAATATTGTCATTTTTGGTAACCTGATGCGCTGTTGTATTCTGTTGTATCTCTACTAAGAATTATAAATTTATGAAAACAAGTGACGTGCGCATTTTCTATTAATAGTCCTAAAATTTCATGTACTTATCACATTAAGATATTTGAACACACATGTAATAACAGGTACATATGTATTGGAAAAAAGTTTGACCAAATACTCTTTAAAATAATTATTATTATTAAATACCAAAATGTTTACATAATATTCCACTATAGCAAATAGGTATCTGGACTACTGCGACGCAACACATAGACAAAATTGATGGAAGGTAGATAATGCGCATAGATACAGTCACCCTTTGAGCATATGTCTAAATTTATTGTATTGTATTCCACTTTTTAAAAGTTCTCCTTATCTACTGTGGTGGTATTGAAAAAAATAACTTGAAAATTCTCTACAATGACGTCGGCGACTAGTCGTAACGACAGACAGCGTGCAGGAAGCGATCATTAGTAGTGGAGTATTCGAGAGAGATGGCAGTGTTGTTCATCTTGTGAGTTAATATGGAGCCTCTAGTTGCACTTGCCTTGGTGCTTATCTATATCAATAAAATAAACACATGCACCTTCCTCAGCTCTCACAGCGAGACTGTCGTAGAGTGAGCGCGCTCGAATCCCCTAGCTTGTCGTCGCGACTCCGCGACTCTGACGCTAATTGTGCGAAGCTTTGAAC